GGGTATTGAGGAGGGCATGTTCTGCATGGAGCACTGGGTGTTATGCACAAACAATGAACCATGGAACACTTCATCTAACACTAATGATGTAATGTATGGGGATTAACATAAGAATAAAAAAAAAAAAACCTCTGGAAGGGAACATGGAGAAAAGGGACCATAAAGAGAATAAGAATCGGGAGTATAAATAAATACTTACCAAATATTTACCAAATAAATACTAGATGGATCTACTGATAATCAGAGGGGCCAGGGAGGAAGGCACCCAAAGGAGTGAAAGCCACAACTTATGAGTCTATCCCCCCTGCCCCTATGCAGATGCACTTGCTCAGAGCATGATGGGCTGTGTGGAGGGAGCAATGGGACTACAGGTAGGTACAGAAAAGGGAATAGGGCCAGATTCAGAGAAGTATGGTCCCCAGGTGAGCTAATAATACAACATCTTTCAAGGCAGTATATTTTAAATATTCATTCAACTTCTATTTGGGGGAGAGGCTGAGCTTTGCTGGGATAAGCACAGAGAAAGGCCTCTGGTAGCATTGCTCTGCCTCTATTCTAAAGCACAGGCCCCAAATTTATATAAAGCAAAACCCCACCAAAAAACAAATTTGTTTTCCTTAGAAGAAAATTTACTGAAAATTTTCCTCATCACTTCTCCCAACCCCATTGGTTATTAATGCATCCCTTCTCAATAAAAGATACTTGATATAAGTCCTCATAAAAACACCTCTGGCTCTCTGCTATAATTCTAATGATGTTTTAAATCCTCAACAGTGACACAGCAAAGGCAGGGCAGGGAGAAGGGCAGCAAGACCTGGATGATTGTAAGTGAAGTTCCAGAAAGGAGGTTACTGTGTGTGAAGAAGGACTTTAATTTCATTCAATGGCTTCTGAGGGCCCCATCTCAGCTGCGCTGAGGGTTCTCAGCAGGAGAGTTCTAGGCTCATTTAGGAAGAGGGATGAGAAGAGAGGAAAGTCACAGGTACAAAGGGGCTCATCCAAAGTCTCACAGAAAGTACCTCCCAGAACCCTAAGAGAATATCTAGATGAGCGAGAAAAAAAGATTCAGAATGGTGGAGAAGGGGCAGGGAGCCATACTAAGTGGGAAGGAACAGGTGTAGTCGGTGAGGACACCGAGTTCTAGGGCCAGACTTCCTGTGTTAATTTCCCAGTTCTTTCCTGACTAGCTGCATGATCTTGGGCAAGTTACTTTACTCCTGCTACACCTCCATCTTTTCATTTGTAACATGTGGGTAACAATGAACTGCATGAGATAATCAGGAGGATTAAATGAGTTAGTTCAGATAAAGTACTCCAAAGACTAGGTTATTAGTCCTGTTATTATTATTTATAACTCTCTTTGGCTATCAGCCCATTGTTTTTTTCAATAGACAAAACACCTTAATGAATATTCAGCAACATTAAAGTCTATTCTCCATCCAAATACGACCAAAGGAAATTCCTTTCCCAGGAAAAAGAAGAGTGAAAGGGATGAGAAAAACAGCCTGAGAACAGATTTCTCCAAAGGACCTGGTGTCTCAGAACCAAGACCCGAGGGCTGGGTGGTGCACCAAGCAGGTCCACCACTGACAGACTTAGCTTGGGTCACAGCTAGCTGGCAGGCTCTCCTTGAGTGCTTTGAAAAACACCCATCTGTCTCAGCAGAAACAGAGACTGTCTCCATCATTTATAGAATGCCGGGGGGCAGAGCCGAGTGATGGGAGTCAGAGCTTCAGCTCTAGAACCAAGGAGAGCCAGGAGTGAGCATCAGAGGTAAGATTCAACCCAGGCTAAGGAGAAATGGAGCCTTTTCTTTCCTGCCACCCCTGAGCAGACTTTACTGTCTCCTTTTCCCCCTAGTGTCTTCTTTTCTTCCTGCAAGTCCCAACCAACTCTATTTTTTTGGTTATGCCCCTTCTCTCTTTAGGGCGTTAGGTAAAAGTCTTTTATGTCTTCATGCAGTCTTAACATTGGAAGACTCTCCTGACATCAGAACAACATGTTAAAATGCACACTCACAAACCACATTAGGTACAATTGTTAGATAACTATAGAGGAGTTGAGTGCATTACTTTTTGGCCTAGTTGTATTATGTAGATATTTATTTATTTAAACAAGTAGTAATTTTATTTTGCCATTTTCTTTGTACATAGGTTTCAGATCTCAAGTGTTTTTTACCACTCAGTTTCTTTAAAAGGTACAGGATCTCCACACTGAAGCCATGTCCCTAATGGATAAAACAGCCTGCCCCTCACCCCACGTTATAAGGGTGGCCTCTCTTTGCAGCACAATATATTGGAAAGATTAGTTATGAGAAGTGTCACAAGGAATTATTTTCAGTACATAAGGTACAAAAAGCTGTGAATGTTTATCTTTTTAATAAATTGGAGCAAATGCAGATTTATATCTCTAATAACCTCACTCTTGCTCACAGGCACTTAAAACCAGCATGTAAAATGTTTTCATAATCTAAAGCCAGTGTTCTCTATACTGCGAAGGTACTGATATACCCTTAATTCACAGACATAGCAACTCAGGTTTTTAATAAATAAACATCTCAAGAAAAATTTCCACCTACCCATTTGTTTCACTCTTAATAAGCATTTTGAAGATTTTTTAAAACTCCAAGTAAGCATATGGTGGTGTATCATGTATAAAGATCATCCACCATATTCTTATGTTGTGATGGCAAAAACATAGAGAACCCAGTTCCAAGGCACAATCTCTTGTCCCAGTCTCTATACCTGTTCTGCAAAGTATGGGACAGGAGACTGAATAAGGACTTTCCTGGCTTATACACACCCGACACCCAGATTACCAAGAAAAGTTTCCTCAAGAGTCCTCCTCTGTTTGGGACTGGGAGTTCACAGCACTAAGCACAAAGTCTGGCACGTCATAGGTACTTAGGAAATATTTGAACAAATGAACCATGGAATTAGTGAATTAATCTTTTACCCATAGCTTTGCCTGTTTCACCAACATATTGATCAAAATCCGAGCCATTTTCATGAATAGCCCCCACTGATAAACCCTGTCTTGGCACAGTCTGATTCTGACTGCCCTCAAACATTTACCAGGGGCACCTGACTGGCTCAGTGGGTAGAACATGTGACCTGACTTCAGGGTTGTGAGTTAAGCCCTATATTGGGTGTAGAGCCTACTTAAAAATTTATCAAGAAAAGTCTCTTCCCCCGCATTCTCCGATGCTTTTTCTGGCCCTATTCTGCATTCCCATTCCCAACCAGTGCCATCTCCTACTCCAACTGACATTTCCCCCTGTGCCCACCCTCCCCACCCTGTATTCTGCCATGCTGCAATCCCTCTCTCATCCTTTGTCTCATTCCCACATGTCTACTTCCTCTCTCCCAGCTCTAGTCTCTGTCCTTCACAGATACTCCTAAATACACACTCATACTCACACTCCTACCAATCCCTCCCCCTGCCACCCCTGATGCTCTTAAACTCACCTACTATATCACAGTATCAGCTGAAGGACTGAGAAAGTGGTAGAGCAGAGCTCAAAACATTGCTTGTTCTGAGAGAAGAGGAAT